AAATCGAACGAATTTCCCGCCTTCATCGTGAGACTGTCGCACTACCGTCGCACGAACTAGTATAAATGAGCCTTAATAGTTCACTTGCCAATTAAGACGGAATTACCAAATTTGACTCTGCACTTTACAATTCATGCAAAGGTCCCCAACTCGGACAAATCCAAATTTTTCTCTTGACATGCACGGTTTCAAAACTTCATCTTTGGTGTTACAGGTTGAAATTATAGGAACATTTTATCTGTAAATTTGTTTTGTTTACAATATCAATAGATTTCACACGACAAGATACCGTTTCTAAAGGGTTTGTGCAGTAAATCTGGTGTCATGTCCGTTGTCACGTGATCTAATTTCGATTATATTACTTCACTTAGAGTGAAAATTAAAGAACGGATTCGAGGTCTGTAATTTGTAAGTGATATATTAGGTAACACAATTTGGTATAAATAATTTCGTTAGTTCAGTATTATAGTGAATATGTTTACGCTCGAATATGTTAGGCCTTGAAACATTTTATCGAACTGTAGCGTGTTTTTTTTAACCTGTAGTTTCGACAGAGAGGGAATAACATTTTCAACAAAACAAAATAACTAAGACACAGGGGTCTGTTTATCGATTTCGCAATAAAACCATGGTAGCGTAAAATTTGCAACACCATAGAATAACACCTTAACAAATAAAATAGCCATGCGAAACGGAATTGTTGCTACATACTACAAATGCCTGTAGACACAATTACGTTGCTTGTATTAGTATTTGTAATTGTTACACTATGTTGACTGCTCTATCCCAATTATTGTCACTTTAACCTACTGTGTTTTGCTCACACTTAATTTAATTGAATTTAATGCAACTGTCATACGAGTGGGAGGTTTAGCTAGCTATAAAACCAGGTTTAACCTACAATTTTCTGCAATGAAAATGCCTGTAGCAACTCAGGAATATGACGGGTTTTTTCCAGTCCAGTCGTTCTGTTATTTGATGTGTTCAAGCGTTTGGTTTTTTCAGTTGTTTATAAACTTTCCCCTCTTTTTGAATTTCCCTCGGAGTTCGGTATTTTTGTTATAAATCTACTTTTTACAACAGTATAAGAAATGTTATACCGTATTTACATTACAGCTGTGAGTTTAATTTCAACTTCGTTATACCATATATGTAATTTTAAAACATAATATATAGTGTATACATATATCGCAATAACAAATCAGGATAGAAATATAATAAACGATTCATTCCAAGCTTTTGAGAACACCTAATCGATTTTTGCATATGTTATATTATTTACAAAATTAAGTCTCCAAGTGATGTTTTTAAATCAAAGTATTACACATGCAATGTAAGCTCATCACACATCTCAATCAACACACAAAACATTATGATAGCTTCATCCAGGTTATTTGGAATAAGGGCGTGCTGTGGTGCTTCATTCGTAAGGAATCGGATCAACTCAAGGAATTCTTCACAACATCATCTTTCAGGCCAGTCTTCAGCGTATTCTTCATCTAGAGCCTCCATTGTACATTGCAAAGGACAAGAATAATCCATGGTATTGTATATTTCTGGTTGAAAATAAAGTACATTTGGAATACCAGTAGGGGTAAGAACTTCTCTTCGTTGCATTCTTATTCTATGCATATTCCATGTATCCATGACTGTTTGCAATTGCCTTCGTATAAGTGGAAGAAAACAAAATCGGACACACTCGATGTGCAGAAGATAAGATGTACGAAAAATTCCCAAACTGCTGAAGTCCAAGAATTTATTCCTCCAGAAGTGGGTAAAGCTTTCAGAGAGATCCCTCCATAGTCTCTCGATATGCTGATTTCCAGTAGACCTACAAATCAAAAAACTTCTAGAACCTGACATTTCATCATTCTGACTGTAACGCAAGGCAATTTCCAAGTCTTTGACCAGGACATTTTCAGTTCCAGCATCGGAACGTATGAGTCTTAGAAGGCACCTCCGTTCTTAGATTAGGTCTAAGTAAAATTTTGCAATATATCTAGGGTTGTTATTAGATGGTCCGGCTTTAAACCACAAAATTTTTCGCGAATATCAATCTATTGCGCCATGTATAGCGATGCCAAAAGGTTTCAGCTTGTCATAACCGTCGATATGAATCAGGTAGATGGGTTCACTTTTGATGTATGCCCTCCTGTGTAAATGATGTCTTCGTCGTAAATTTACACCTTCCTCATTTTCAACAACGGAGCGATGGGCAAATTATTTGAGACCTTTTCCCTGATATTTTATTTTGTCCTACTTTTTTTCCATTTAAGGAGGCGCACGCCCCCTCTAACTCCACGCCAGGTGAGCGTTAATCAGTCTGCATTCTTATTTACCTTATTAAGAGACATATTGTCTTAAACGGGGTGGGACGGGTATGTCTAAAAACAATATTATGTTAATCATCAACCAAAATCAAGTACTTTGAAAGGGAACGAAAAAGAATACTACATTTATTAGATTGTACATTTATTAGATTGTTTCCTATTGTTTGCTGTCTCTTATACACGCATGCCATCACTTACCTACATACAGGATACTGAATGCAAATATTGCACATTTCAATTTGCAATTTCATAGTCTTTCAAAATAAAAAACCTTGAGAAAAGCATACTGCAATCAACATAAAATATAAAATAGCGTCATTCCCCTCGATTTAAGAACAAGTCAAATACACCTTTCTAATATCTACTTGCTGACATATTTAGAGCATGTGGACTTTCATTGAGTAGACAGGTTTTAAACATTCACCTCAAGTTAACTTTTAATATGTTTACTTGGTGATATAATCTCTTTTCAGAACAGGGCAATAAGACATACAAGAAAAAGTGAGAAAAGTGAGAAAACAATTACAACGCTAATTGCAGGGTATTTACTTTCCTCAGTAACACAAGTAAACTTTTTTCAAGTCAGAAAGATGTAGTATCAACTCAACAAGTATACAAAATTAAGTTGACTTGTCGACATACAATACATCTTGTCGCATGGTTGCAAGTCAACAACATGACAAAACAACTCAACAACTCGTGACAATTAGACGCTTCTAGAATACACTACCGTTTATCATGAAATACGTCGTTTTGACGTGGTATTCTAATGATGAGCTTTATAAAAGCATACATTTGGAATTAAGTTTTGCAGATTCCTTTTTTTATTGAACATTGTGTAGAAAAAAAAGCATATATGTGTACGAGCTTTCTTTACTTATTTGTATTTTAAGAGTAGTTGTTGTATTGATGGATTTCATGTTAAATTACATCGTCATACTACCTGTTCATGTAAATGAAAAAGTATAACAGAAATACCGAATTCAAAGGTGAATTCAAAAAGGGGAAGTCCATAACACTGACAAAAAACGTTATTAACCAACGATACGAGTGAAAAAACAACTGCCATATTCCTGAATTATTTGAGTACTTATTACAGTCCATTTGTACGAGACAGTTCTCAACCTCTAACATTATTTCATGCGGAGATTCATTCAGGATTTTCATTATAAAATTATAACATTAAAGCGTTTAGGTTTCAAAAGCAAACAAGTTTATTTTATGTTCGATCACAGGTCAAGGAAAACCCCATGTCTTTGAATGTTAGAACATTAAAATCACAAGGTAAAAATACGTATTACACCTATATTTCAGTGCACTGCATTTAAGAATTTGCAGCTAACATCGAGTAAATTCAAAGTTAACAAGACAAAAGAAGGCGGATGAATTTTATTGTTATTTCACTTTCCGTAAAGAAGAGTTAAATACTACAATTTTTCCATATTCATCTAGGTCTCCATGAAAAAGCTGTAATAAGATTTAACCTCATAGCCAGTAGAGGACATATTTTTATGCAAGATAATTTATTTTAGTTACAAATTCAATATGAAAACGGGATATTTGTGCATTTTACAGAAATACATATGATGATCAATTTCTGTGCCCCTCTTTACCTGTTTTGAGTTGTATTAAAAATCATAAGTGTTTCGAACAGACAAAGAGAGGCACAGAAATTGGTCCAGCGATGACATTTAGAAATGAAATTGTCGATTTTCATTTAAATTGAGCGATACAGGGAATAGTCGAATTTTTTTTAAGGTTTCGAAAACTTTGAAGCAAGCAGATCCGAGGAACAATGAATCAAATCGGAGTGCCATGAGAGTAAATTTTGATATAGGTTTAATCTGTTTCCCTTTGTATTCAATATAGTGATACCAATAATATGAGTTGGAGCTAATTTTTATTAAGGGAACGACCATTTAACTTCAAAGAGGGGGGGGGGGGGGTGTGTTCTGGTTTTTTCCTAAAAAAATATTGTGGTCAAGCAGATGACAAAAAGAAATATTCTGAATCCAGATTTTACCCATACCTTATAGTGTTAAATTTTGAAAAAATAATTTGATTGATAGCGTCGAGAAATTTTGCGCGGAAAATTTTTTCTGACTCAAACAAAAAAACATAAGCCCCACCCCCCCGTCCTCCTTTTATATGTTGTATTTGTGTACTAGTTTGTACTGGTTTGTCTAATTGTCGTTTTTCGTTTTTGCCATGGCATTGTCATTTTTTTTTTGGGACTTATGAGTTGGAATAACCCTCTGGTATCTTTCGACTCTCTTTCACAGTCCTCAAAGGTGCAAGTCAATTGTATACTTTCTTACATTAGACAACAACCCCTAGGTATAACCGAGTTTTTGAAATATGTATGGAAGCATCCATCATCTGTTCTGTCATGACCAGTATTGTAACCTGCTGTAATCAGCGTGGTCTCTGATCAAAAAAGTCTTTTCTTTACAAAAAACCTTATCAACGATACCAGGAATAATGACACATTTTTAAGTTCTGACCTTATTATCATGTGCGCTATTATTATTCTTTTAAGTGGTATCTCAATCATAGCAACGCACGTAGCAACATTATCAATCATCTGTTTACATTTTGTTTCTGTTTATCACATTGAATGATATTGTAAAATTCCTCGGACATAAAAATTATAAAAAACAGAAACAACGCTTTGAGAGCACATTTATTAAATGAAAATAAGAAATAATTTTTTTTTTAAATTAATAATCAAATATAATAGTTAACAGATCTTCAAACGTCTCTACCTATTACAAAAACAACAAACCATCAGCATTTATCGTACTAACATCAGAACCTAAACCAATCCCAGATATCATCACCCATGAAGTTTCTTTTCCTTTTAAGGATTACTTTGTCCAACACGTGTATGACCCCATTGGTTGTGCTCATGTCACATTCAGTAATTTGTGAGCCTCCGATTTCAGTTTTGTTACCCATTTCTTGAACTGTAAATCTTTCTTCAGAAATTGATTTTAGTTGCCTCGCTCCATATCCAACGTTTGCAGCAACTATGCTTAAACCAGAGCAACAAATCTGATCTGAAATTAAAACAATGATAGTTTTGCACGTAATCCATAAGAAAATTATAATGCAAATTCATAAAAAAATTTCTGAGCGGATGACCAAAATGGAGAATATTTTTGTACTGTAAATATCTATATTTGTCTGGGTAAGGTACACTTGATATGGCTATTTACATAAATGTTTTGCAACGAAATTCTGTTGTGCTTCGGTAATAAAAGTTTCAAAATACATAAATAGAAAAATAGGAACTACAAGAAAATATTGGACACTGCATGAGTACATCAGATCACACAAGCATAGGACTGCACAAACTTGTGTTAGCCTAATCCCGTTTTGCATGCTCACAAACTTCCCCTTAGCCTTACCAAGAAAACAAAGAAAAAATAATTTAACATTATAACAAATGTAGGCACAAAAAGACTCTTGAATAAGCAATTTCTAAAGCAATTCTATTTCAATTAGATCAACTGTTATTCCTAGCTGTAAGACCAGATATGTTTGAATTACTGAAAAAGACTCTCAGTGACCATCAAGATTGCAAAATAGCAATACAAAAACTAATTATATGTTTTCTGTGTTCCCCCTATCATAACTACTGTCATTTCTCAAATTAAAAAAAAACATCATGCTACAACTTAATTGTTTTTTTTAGATCAGTTTTTCTCAGATATTCATTTGAAGATGGAAAAATATTCATGTATTTTCAATAATTGAAGAGGTAAACTACTTTACCTTTAAATATGTGATTGTATAGTACATGTTTTAACTTCCCTTTATCGTTTACAATGTTCTGTAATTCTGCATCATCAACACGTTTGAAAGCCTGAAATAAAATAGTTCTCGATACTTAGGAAACAAGAATAATCTTCCATTTCCTTACCTTAAACACATTCCTATGTCCAATGTATGCTGACTACTTAAAAACAACCATCACGAATTGGCTGATTTTCTTTTGGTTTTCAGTAGTCCTTCAATGATCTGAAGATTATCTACTGTTTTGCGCAGCGTGGCCTATATATATATATATTTACAAGAATACAAAAATAATTGAAAATGAATTAGGAGTGCATACATTTTTAAATTGTGATTAAACTATGTACAATCTATGCGATGTGTCTGTGCCTCAACTCACGGGTGAATATCTGTTTGCACAGTTTAAGATTTCCAGATATATGAACATTCGTATGGTCTGTAAATTTACGGATTGTGTCCTGTTCCCTATAGCTCATGCTTGAGTCTGGATTCGCATGGAGGAAGATGTATGCATAACAATAAAAGCGCCTTTTTTATGCTGTTGGAATTTTCAGGTGTGCGTAGTAATTTTGCTACATGAACTGATACACAATTTCCCTTCTTTTCCATTAAAGTAGAAGACGCTTTATACCCTATCGACGTAACCGGTTTCGTTCCGTTTGGAGTTCATGCGTTTTCTCTGTTTTTATTTTAATTTATATTTTTAAATTGATTTTCGAGATTTAAAAATAGGTAAAATTACTGTTGTGTCTTTTTAAACCATTCTGAAGTTACTTCATATATGAAAATCGAATCCTGACAGTGTAGATTTACTATTATAGAATTAAAGGGGTTAAGTTAAAAATGATTTTTCTGATCTATAGATTTTGTATCTTTGACGAGTTTTTGTAAACCATGAATTGATGGAACTGTTGGTAGACGTTTTATCCTAGCGCAATGCTGACATGAAATAACATTGCCATGGTAACTCCTGTAAATTAACTGTTCATAAAATGTAAAAAAAACACTCAGGTTTTTCTACCTCAAGACATAGATGGTATTTTTTAACTTGAGTTTCAGTGCTATTCAACTTCGTAATAGATTTGACTTCCAAACCGTTTTGATTTCAAGCACCATAGATGAATCTTGTGTAGACGAAATTCGCGTCTAGCGATAATAATTATAAGCCTTTTATTTTGGACTAGTTTTCTTTCTACCAGCTGAACTAAAAACTCGTGAGCATTACTGAAGAGACTTCAATTTTCGAAATAAACATCTAATCCAGTTAAATTGTTTTATGTTATTACAGTGATATATTCTAGACCAGTACAATCGTCGATTATACAAAAAATAAGAATATGACTATGTATTTCGTTAATTAAAGGGTCCATGATGGGCGACGTGACTTTGACATTAACAGACATCATACTCTGATGTAATGACAGTTACAGAAGGAAAAAGAATATAAACTTTCCATGCATATTTCTATATTTCATATTAAGGATTCAAGTTGCATTCAAGATCGAACCAGAACAATGGCATACAAAATTGTAAGTCTGGTATATTTGTTGAGATTTTAACATTAAACAATCGCAGACATTATTATATATGACATTTTCTTCGCAGATGAATAATTTAAAGATGAAGGGACCAGATATAAACTTGACTCTTTGATCCTTAGCATGCAAGTTTTTACAGTTTTTTTCGTTGCTGCTTATAAATTACGTAACAGATTGCACTAATTACATTTTGGAGCGGTAAAAATATCTCCTGTAAAATAGACTTTCGGATTTTCAATGTTAAAGTATTTATCTTTAAATAAAAGTTCGGCCCTTAACCCAAAAGGTGTTCACACATTTAGAAAGCAGTTGTGTGGTCTCAACATCTAAATTGCTATTATCAAATAACGGGGAGAGATCAAACTCTTTTCAATCTTTCAGCAACACAACACGATTTAAATGTGTCTTTTCTTCTTATGCATAACGACACTCCTCAAGCGACAGTACTAGTTGATGTAATAAAGGAAAATTACGATATATATTTTGTTTACACATTAATTAGAGGCAGGAGCTGGTCAGGGTTCCGGATGCAAAAGGTCCGTTTCTTTTAGGTGTGAATATTTTTGGTACCTCTATCACATTTTTCAGTCCATCCTTTTTTTTTACAAACATCACTGATATTTTCTTATGTCCTTTCCCCTTCCACTTATTTTTAAAATCTAACATTGAAGTTTATACAGCCATACAAAACATGATGACCGGGATTTATTGACACATTGAAATTGAAATGATGTTTTGCAAATAACATCAGTAGGCATTCCCTATCTTCTTCACCCACTTCACACCGGGTACCTACAAAAATACGATAAGTCACGTGACTTTTAAAGCTTCTAGGTTGCTCAATTGTAAATACCGGTATACTCAAACCCCAGATGTCAATCGTTTGGACTTTTATCAAACAAGGTAATTACTTTTTTCTATTTATGATTTACAACAGCATTGGGTATGCTTGAAATGAAGTGTTAGTCAATAGTTTGGTATGATTACACCAAGGACAGGCGAAATATACCAAAGGGATATTCAAACTCATAAATCGAGAACAAACTGACAATGCCATAGCAAAAAATGAAAAACAACGAAAAGACTATGGACATAAAACCTTAAGAATTTGTGTTTACAATTAAAGTTTACTACAATAAACGATTTGGGAAATACGGTCGACTTAAGAAATAAAATCATGTAAGATCTAATTTCTTAAATCAATCGTATTTTTCCAATTTTTTTTGTAGTATTTAAATAGCTGAATAAACATGAATGTTTCAAATTTGGACATTGTCCACTGTGCTGCAATCTATGTCTAGAAAAAAGTAGAATAACAAAAATACCGAACTCCAAGGAAAATTCAAATCGGAAAGTCCCTTATCAAATGGCAAAATCAAAAGCTCAAACACATCAAACGAATGGAAAACAACTGTCATATTCCTGACTTGGTACAGGTATTTCCTTATGTAGTTTTAGAACCTTTTAAAAATATAGACATAAAACCTTAAGAATTTGTGTTTACAATTAAAGTTTACTACAAAAAACGATTTGGGAAATACGGTCGATTTAAGAAATTAGATCATGTAAGATCTAATTTCTTAAATCGATCGTATTTTTCAATTTTTTTTTGTAGTATTTAAATAGCTGAATAAACATGAATGTTTCAAATTTGGACATTGTCCACTGTGCTGCAATCTATGTCTAGAAAAAAGTAGAATAACAAAAATACCGAACTCCAAGGAAAATTCAAATCGGAAATTCCCTTATCAAGTGGCAAAATCAAAAGCTCAAATACATCAAACGAATGGAAAACAACTGTCATATTCCTGACTTGGTACAGGCATTTCCTTATGTAGAAAATGATATATTAAACCTGGTTTTATAGCTAGCTAAACTTCTCACTTATATGACGGTGGCATAAAATTCTATTATATTGACAACAATGTGTGAACAAAACAAACAGACATAATAGGTAAAAATGTCAAAAATAGGGGTACAGCAGTCAACATCGTTTTAAAATCTTAATCACTATAAAAACAAACAAATATATCAACAAAGAAAAACAAAATGGCATATTGACAAAGCACATAAGCAAAAATAAAAGACTAAAATACAAAAAATGACCACAGCACAACAACACATTGTCAGGATGCATAAGTACCAAGCCACGCCAAAAGGATATTACCAAAAATGGAATAAATAGTAAAGGTTAATAATTTACAAAGACAAATAAAAGAACAGTATAACACATAGTTCAGATAATAAACAACGTCAATACCTAGAATATATGTAACACTCCCAAACGTGTCCTTCCCCCCAAACGTGTCCGATTCCCCCAAACGTGTCTTTTCCCCCAAACGTGTCCGTTATATTCAATGTTGCCCAAAGGTGTCCGATTTCATAACCCCCAAACGTGTTCGATAATTGTTATTCGCCAAAACGTGTCTACTGTTAAACGCCAGAACGTCTCACGTCTATTAGCGCTAATACATGTATGTACATGTTAACGGCAAATTCTATGATGGGGGACACATTTGATGATTATCATAATTGCAAATTTAATCTGTAACACAAAAAATTAACTTTTGACTGTAATTGTTTATTGTCCAGTTGCAAGTATTTCATGCATATTTAAAGCGAATATACAAATCATTTTAGTACAGTTGAATTAATCGTTTACTAAGTGAATTATTTTGTACAAATAAAATCTAAGACGATGCATTTTCATAAAAATCCTGTGTGCGAATATTACACGGCGGGAAAAATTGACTACCCTTTCTTCAACAGTCCTGATATTTTAAAAGCTCTTCAAATCATTAACTGGTTTTCGTTTTTTTTTTTAGGTTTCGAGCATCACTAAAGACACAAAAACGAGAGACATAACGTCCAGTGCCAAATATTTCATGCATTATTTGAACGACATCAGGTTAACAATTAATGACCCCCAAGAATAGCAGTATGAACACCATTTGTCTTCCTCCGACCGGCAGTAAAACCCTCGCCAAAGTGGGACGTCCGTTTGGCTGTGTGGGATATGCAAATTTGCAGCCACGTCCGGTCAGAATGGGAACCCTTGCAACAACTCTTCGAGGGGTTCGTAGGTGTCCTGTTACATGGCTAAATTTTTGTCCCTATCCAATATGCCCTCATTTCCCGTGGCAGTCTAAATTTCTTCGACCTTCATCCCGGACGCCTCTATTGTACAGACCTGCCTATTTTATGTATTGTTAATTTGTTCTCGTCCTGAAAATGCATGAAATATTTGCCACTGGACGTTAAGCAATCAATCAATCAATCAATTAACAATTAATACTGTAGATAGGTTCCATTATTATACAGGGAATTTATGATTGGGCCTAAATTTTTACGGGTATTCGGGATTAACACTAGTTGGGATATTAATAATATTTAAGAGCGAGTAAAGACCGTTTTTTTATTACTTCAGTAAAACACTTCTTCAATCTCAGTTATGTAAGAGAGGCCGTTTTAAATAAAAATTGCGGAAATCTTAACTGCCACTAGAAAAAAAATCAATAGGGACAAAATTGTTGCCTCCCGAAATACAACTGATGGCACCATGAAAGAGTTGTTAGAAAGGTTTTAATCTGCAGAGAAAGGGACATTCTTCCTACACGAAGTATCTGATTTGATATCCACAAATTAACTGAGCATGGCTGCTTACATTAACATCCCACATAGCTGAGCAGACGCCCCACTTTAACCGTTATACTGTTAAAAAAGTACTTTATTTCTATTTTTTAATAAAATAGTAAAATGAGTAAACGTTAATGAAATAGCAATATTTAAATAACGGAGGTATTTATAAAATGGACACGAATGATCGTTCAATAAAAGAAAAAAAAATACTTGATATGGACACGTTTGGGGGATTGGGCACGTTTGGGTGTTCATTTTAAAAAATGGACACGTTTGGGCGTTTATACAAATGACACGCTTTGGCGCCCTTTTACATTCAGACTTGTTTTGCAGTTCAGTGACGTCATGTGGACACGTTTGGGGGGATCGGGCACGTTTGGGGGGAAGGACACGTTTCTGAGTGTTACATATATACTTCAAGACCATCATGTATTATTTGTGAAGTTGATACGGAATATTTATCAACTAGGTTTTGGTATCTTCCGATGAACTTTTTTATAATGATATAACCCTGGTTCATCAACTTTCTGTTCAGACAATGGTGACGTTTTATAAAGTCTGAGTAGCAGATGCAAGCTCTTGAATACCGAATGAGTTGGGAAATGTATATACCATATGCAGGTGAAGTTGGTATATTGCTACTAAGATGGGGGGAAATTGATAATTTCAAAATTAAAATCGTCTCGTTTATCATAGATTCTGGTACTGAAATGACCGCTTATGTCAAATCGAGTTATACGTCTAAAAATGAGGCGGAAGAAGCCGTGTCTGTTGTTTCTTTAATTTCTAGTTCTGGAGGATATATTAATGGAACCCAATCAGAAAAGTTTGGATTGTTAATGGAAAGAACATCCTCAATATATCTGAATGTGAAATTAAAAGATCTGGTTTCTTTGATCTTCTTGTTTTTGACAAGTGTTTGAAATGACTGACATTTTACTCACATCATTTGTAGGTGCAAATAGAGTAAATGGACCATCTTCCTCTAACATATCACCAATTTCTGCTATTTTGATCAGTTGTACCAATTCAGTAAACCTGTTGTCCAGAGCAAGAACATCCAGAATTGTTCCAGCTGGAGGCTTCAGAACCTTTTAAAAAATATGAACATAAAACCTAAAGAATATGTGTTAAGTAAACAATTAAAGTCATTATTTTGCATATAGGTTCGTTTTGTACTGTCCTCTAGGCATGTTTGGCACAAGTTTTTTGGAATTTCTGGTTTTCATTGGTCGTCAACTTTGTATTTGATTTGGCCTTCAAACTGTTTTAATTCGAGCGCAACTGATGAGTCTTGTCAGACGAAACGCTCTTTTTTCGTATCAAAATAAATGCCTTGTATCTTTAATGCGTTTAACAATAGAACACGCTGTCGACGCACCAAACTCGTGCACTTCATGCAATTCCCTCAGTATGAAAATAAGATGTGGGTATGATTGCCCATGTGACATCTTTTCGCCAGAGACCAAACGAAGTAAAAGCAACTATAGGTCACCGTATGGCTTTCAAAAATGAGCAAAATCCATACAGCATAGCACGCTACTAATCAGGTTTTGTTTTAACCTTGACTTGAATTGTAAATTTATTTACGAGATTTGAACATCAGCAAGCTATCATTGACTCTTTTTTTACCACTTTGTTTTAATGACTGAATTTTTTTTCGGTTCGATGCAGACCTGAATTATAAAAAAAACACCAAATATCGCTTCATGCAATACAAAAAAAAATGTTTCGGTTAATTGTACATAATGCATCACATGTCAACAATCTTTCGACTTTATTTTTTCTAAAATTGTCCCACAAAATACTAAAAAATTAAACCATACCTTGTCAACAATATGAATTATTCCATTACATGCTCTGATGTTTGATTTCTCAATAGTAGCACACTGTGCAGTCTGGACCCATTTCCAATCGAATCTCGCAAAAGGAAATGGCTGAAAATGTCAATATTATTAAATCTCACCTGGTACATTGGGAAGATGAAAGCATAAATAAAAATTCAAGCAAAACAGTTTATAATGATTGAGAATACAAAATTAGCAGTTATCATCACTAGAATGTATAGCAAACATATTCATAATATTTTTTAGTTAAATTGTAATCATTTGTGTTTATATCTTTTGTTTTTAGTGTTCGTTTTTCGTTTATTTTTGTTTACTTTTTTTCAATCATTAGAATTTCTATAAGAATCAATGAATACAGCGAAAAAATACCAGCTTTGCTTAATTATACTAACCGTTGTATACTCGTTGAATCTGATTTGTTTTCCACTGTTTAGTGTATCTAGCTGTTGGTCATTGTACAATCTACAAGTATGTTCTTCAGATGGAACCACGTGGAATGTAAGCACTTTCATTAATTCTGTGGGATCAGTGGGAACCTTCTCTAAATTCTATAGACAAATTAAAACAGACTTAATGTTGTTTTTAGATGATTGGTTACTGATACGTCCCTGATCATTCAACGTCAAATATGCAGTTCAATTCATAATTATGACCCGTCAAATATTGAAAATACTATATGTTTTTAAATCATAGATATTCTGCCTTACAAGATCCTAGTTAATAACAAAAAGACAAATTCTCAAAGATATTGGATTATAAACATTTTTATTTGCTTTTAATTTCTTTGTATTTTAAGTAGAAATCTAGAATAAATAAACCACCTGCAGGAAATGGAGCGATTTTATAAACCCTGTGCACACACAGTTTTTTTCAACCATACGTTTTGTCTCGCCTTCAATGGAAGATGCTTTGGCGAGACACAGGGACTACAAATTCTGTCAGTGGCGTCGTCAACGCTTTAGGTTCAATCTGTGGTGACTGGTTTTTCAGACATGAATAACTAAATTTATCAAACCTTCATGGAATTCTATGAAAATTGGACAGAGTTTCTTTATAATCAAGAAATAGTATCTGGAGCAGAATTTATCAGTTTATGGCAACCGTGGGCACCAGTTGGAAAGTTGAAAGTAACTAAAAATATTTTTAAAAAACCCACTTGATCATAGCCTACCACATATTATACATTTACCAAAATACTTACACCAATGGCAGCATCACTAGGAGCAAACAGTGTTAGATTTTGTGTCGTCTGTAAAGTTTTAGCCAAACCTGTGTCTTCAATCAACTTTACAATAGCTGATGCCCCAGATCTTCGTGCAATTTCTAACACATCCAATGCTGAATATAAACATAGAGGAATAGATAAAACTTACGAATTATTGTTTTATAAGAAATCTCCAAATACCGTCTTTAAAGGATTTAAAAAAAATGAAATGCCAATTCAAAATGTTCATTGCTTCAGGTAGGGGAGTATGTGAGTACACGCCCCTTTATTTCGACCAAATAGTCTATTACATTTTGTTTGATATCAGGTATTTAAAAAAATACTGCTATCTTCAAAGTAAGTGATGATCATTATTTTTATTTTCTGAAATGTTTTACAATTTGTTTTCATGTTTTTGAAGACCAAATGATGTCAGATGATGTTTCTACATAAAAAATGTAAATTTATTTAAGAGTTTATGCCTTAGAATATTGTTATCTTATTTAAATTAAGGCGACAATAGTTTACCGATGTTCAAATCTCGCAAATCTATTAGGAAGAGCCACATCAAGGTAATAAACAATAAAATGCTCCGCAGGGCGCAGCTTGATACGACCGCAGAGGTCGAACCCTGAACAGTTGGGGCAAGTATGGACACAACATTCAAGCTTGATACAGCTTTGCATTTGGATTGTGATTAAATATTTGACACAACATAGGTTTCTGACACAGAATGAATGTGGTCTAAGAACTTAAAAATTTTAAATTGGACATTCACCTATTATGGTCCAATATCCAAAATCTAAATACATGGTTAGATTCAGCATATCAAAGAACCCCAAGAATTCAATTTTTGATGAAATCAAACAAAGTTTAATTTTGGACCCTTTTGACCTCAATGTGGACAAAGTTGATAACGGGGCCCCAAAATCAAAAATCTCAATACATGGTTAGATTCAGCATATCAAAGAACCCCATATATTCAATTTTTGTTGAAATCAAACAAAGTTTAATTTTGGACCCCGATTTGGACCAACTTGAAAACTGGGCCCATAATCAAAAATCTAAATACATGTTTAGATTCAGCATATCAAAGAACCCTAAGAATTCAATTTCTGTTAAAATCAAACTAAGTTTAATTTTGGACCCTTTGGACCTTAATGTAGACCAATTTGAAAACGGAACCAAAAATTAAGAATCTAAATACATGGTTAGATTCGGCATATCAAAGAACCCCAATAATTCAATTTTTGATGAAATCAAACAAAGTTTAATTTTGGACCCTTTGGACCTCAATGTGGACCAATTTAAAAACGGGGCCCAAAATCCAAAAACTAAATACACGGTTAGATTCAGCATATTAAAGAACCCCAAGAATTCAAGAATAAAACCCCATTGAAATTGGTCAAGAAATAAGCAATTTATACAAAGTATCTTCTTTTGCACAATACTGTGCAATTAAATATTTCTTGCTATTGCGCAATACTGTACAATTGATAATTTCTTGCTATTGCACAATATTGTGCTATTGGATATTTCTTGCTATTGCGCAATACTGTGCAATTGAAGATTTCTTGCTATTGCGCTATACTGTGCAATTGAAGATTTCTTGCTATTGTGCAATACCGTGCAATTGAAAATTTCTTGCTATTGCACGATACTTATTATATAATAATTTACACATCCTGTTTGGTGTGTATCTCCTACCATATCATTATTATTTTTGCTTTTAAATATAAATCACAAATAACCAACTTAAAATGGAAAATTTTAAAAGAAAAAAAAAAAGAAAAAAAAGGAAAAAAAAAAAAAATCCCCCCCCAAATTTTTTGAACCCCCTTATGATTCATCACCCCCAAACTCAATCCCAGCCTTCCCTTTGTGGTATGATACTTGCAGTACAATTTCAGAGAGATCCATACACTTGAACACAAGCTATTGTCTGGAAACTAGAAAAATGTGTTTTTTGGCCCCTTTTTGGCCCCAAATTCCTAAACAATTAGGGCAATTAACCCCAAACTCAAACCCAGCTTTCCCTTTGTGATATGGAACCTTGTAGTACAATATCAGAAAGATCCATACACTTACACACAAGTTATTGTCCTGAAACTAGAAAAATGCTTGTTTTTTGCCCCTTTTTGGCCCCTAATTCCTAAAATATTGAGGCAATTACCCCCATCATCAATCCCAGCCTTCCCTTTGTGGTATGGTACCTTGCAGTACAATTTCAGAGAGATCCATACACTTGAACACAAGTTATTGTCTGGAAACTAGAAAAATGCTTATTTTTGGCCCCTTTTTGGCCCCCAATTCCTAAACGTTTCAGCAATTACCCCCAAACTCAATTCCAGCTTTTCCTTTGTGATATGGAACCTTGTAGTACAATTTCAGAAAGATCCATGCACTGACACACAAGTTATTGTCATGAAACTAGAAAAATGCTTGTTTTTTTGCCCCTTTTTTGGCCCCTAATTCCTAATATTTTGAGGCAATTACCCCCAAAATCAATCCCAGCATTCCTTTTGTGATATGGAACCTTGTGGTACAATGTCAGAGAGATCCATACACTAACACACAAGTTATGTCTGGAAGTTACAAAAATGCTTATTTTTGGCCCCTTTTTGGCCCCTAATTCCTTTACTGTTGGTACCATAACCCCCAAAATCAATCCCAACCTTTCGTTTGTGGTATTGAACCTTGTGGTAAAATTTCATAGAGATCCATTCACTTAAACTAAAGTTAGAGTGCGAAAACCAATGTGTCTTCGGACGACGCCGGACGACGCCAGACGACGACGACGACGACGACGACGACGCCGACGACGCCAACGTCATACCAATATACGACCACAAAAATTTTTTTGCGGTCGTATAAAAAGTTAGGGAATCTTATTCATTAGTCTAAAGGAGAATTTTTTGTAAAAAAAAATATACAAACATCCGTATAGCTGCAACCCACAGGAAGAATCCCATCATATTTGAAATTTTAGTCCATCTAAGGAATATATTCATCATAGTGTAATGTTTGTGTAATGAGAATGTCATGATTCTCATCATGAGCACTTAATTGGACTACTAAATTTTCTTCATATATATTTGACTTCAATTGACATTTAGAAAAAAAAATAGTGCAGAATATTACTTATCTAGACTTGTGAACAATTTTCTATTGTTGAAGATCAATTGTTTTAGCGTAATGATGGGTTTCTAGTTTATGACAAAAATCTCATTTCATTCATAGACTGGAATCGGTATAGCTATATCTATTGTGAAAAAAAACATGTATAAACATGACATTTTTGTAAATTTTCGTTACAACTTCGAATAAAATGCTTCGCTGGGGCGCAGCTTGATACGACCGCAGAGGTCGAACCCTGAACAGTTGGGGCAAGTATGGACACAACATTCAAGCTTGATACAGCTCTGAATTTGGATTGTTATTAAATATTTGACACAGCATAGGTTTCTGATACAGAAAGTATGTGGTCTAAGAACTTGAATTTTTTTAATTTACCTATTATGGTCCAATGTCCAAAATCAAAATACATGGTTAGATTCAGCATATCAAAGAACTCCATATATTCAATTTTTGTTAAAATCAAACAAAGTTTAATTTTGGACCCCAACTTGGACAAACTTGAAAACTGGGCCCATAATCAAAAATCTAAACACATGTTTAGATTCAGCATATCAAAGAACCCCAAGAATTCAATTTTTGCTAAAATCAAACTAAGTTTAATTTTGGACCCTTTGGACCTTAATGTAGACCAATTTAAAAAACGGGACTTAAAATTAAAAATCTAAATACACGGTTAGATTTGGAATATCAAAGAACCCCAATAATTCAATTTTTGATGAAATCAAACAAAGTTTAATTTTGGACCCTTTTGACCTCATTATGAACCAATTTGATAGCGGGGCCCACAAATAAAAAATCTAAATTCATGGTTAGATTCAGCATATCAAAGAACCCCATATATTCAATTTTTGTTGAAATCAAAAAAAGTATAATTTTGGACCCCAACTTGGACCAACTTGAAAACTGGGCCCATAATCAAAAATCTAAACACATGTTTAGATTCAGCATATCAAAGAACCCCAAGAATTCAATTTTTTTTAAAATCAAACTAAGTTTAATTTTGGACCCTTTGGACCTCAATGAAGACCAATTTAAAAAACGGGACCCAAATTAAAAATCTAAAAACACGGTTAGATTTGGCATATCAAAGAACCCCAATAATTCAATTTTCGATGAAATCAAACAAAGTTTAATTTTGGACCCTTTTGACCTCAATATGAACCAATTTGATAGTGGGGCCTACAAATAAAAAATCTAAATACATGGTTAGATTCAGCATATCAAAGAACCTCATATATTCAATTTTTGTTGAAATCAAACAAAGTTTAATTTTGGACCCCAATTTGGACCAACTTGAAAACTGGGCCCATAATCAAAAATCTAAATACATGTTTAGATTCAGCATATCAAAGAACCCCATATATTCAATTTTTGTTGAAATCAAACAAAGTTTAAATACTGGACCCTATCTTGGACCAACTTGAAAACTGGGCCCATAATCAAAAATCTAAACACATGTTTAGATTCAGCAAATCAAAGAACCCCAAGAATTCAATTTTTGTTAAAATCAAACTAAGTTTAATTTGGACCCTTTGGACCTCAATGTAGACCAATTTAAAAAACAGGACCCAAAATTAAAAACCTAAATACACGATTAGATTTGGAATATCAAAGAACCCCAATAGTTCAATTTTAGATGAAATCAAACAAAGTTTAATTTTGGACCCTTTTGACCTCAATATGAACCAATTAGATAACGGGGTCCACAAATAAAAAATCTAAATACATGGTTAGATTCAGCATATCAAAGAACCCCATATATTCAATTTTTGTTGAAATCAAACAAAGTTTAATTTTGGACCCCAATTTGGACCAACTTGAAAACTGGGCCAAAAATCAAAAATCTAAATACATGTTTAGATTCAGCATATCAAAGAACCTCATATATTCAATTTTTGCTAAAATCAAACAAAGTTTAATTTTGGACCCTTTGGACATTAATGTAGACCAATTTGAAAACTGGACCCAAAATTAAAAATCTAAATACACTGTTAGATTCGGCATAACAAATAAATAAATGTGATCAAAGATTTTACAAATCTAATGCGCCATACTGTGCAATTAAAGATTACTTCTTGAAATTTTTCAATATTTGAAATTTGAAAAAAAAATAATATTTGAAGAATAATTCTTTTTAATTTCTGAAATCTGAAATGAGAAAAAATTGGCCCCCCACAATTTCTTTTTATCCCCCCCCCCTTTTTCCCCCAAAAAAATTCTTTCCCTCAAGATATGGTCTTAATCTCAATTCAAATTTCCAATGGAGTTGGCAACCATAATTACCCATTTAAATTTACCATAGTGCTAACTTAATCTATTTTATAATAGAATTAATAAAAATATAGTGTCAAATCTTTCATATGGATTTTTTTGTAAAAAAAAAAGATGAAAACATTTGCAGATATTTTTACTGGTCTTCCTTTATAAATATGCATTTCTTTAAACATAATTTAAAAGCAGTGTAAGGGAAGTAACCAAAACGTTGTATTTGGATTACCTCCCTTACACTGTTTTAAATTATCTTTATTGTTCATTAACCATTACTTTATACATAATTTAAAAGCAGTGTAAGGGAGATAATTTCAATGATGAATTTGATTTATCTCCCTTACACTGCTTTAAATTATGTTTTGTACTAAAGTATTTGTCCATTAACCAGGACAACCTTGTTTTTCCCCCTTTTTTGCCCCTAATTCCTAAACGGTTTGAGCCATAACCCCCCAAAGCAAATCCTAACAATCCCTTTGTGGTATGGAAACTTGTAGTATAATTTCAGAGAGATCCATACACCGTTCCACAGTTATTGTCTGGAAACTAGAAAATGCTCATTTTTGGCCCCTTTTTGGCCCCTAATTCCTTAACTGTTGGTACCATAACCCCCAAAATCAATCCCAACCTTCCTTTTGTGGTATTTAACCTTATGGTCAAATTTCAAAAAGATCCATTCACTTAAACTAAAGTTAGAGTGCGAAAACCAATATGTATTCGGACGACGACGCCGGACGACGACGACGACGCCGGACGACGACGACGACGACGACGACGACGACGACGCCAACGTCATACCAATATACGACCACAAAATTTTTTTGGCGGTCGTATAATAAATACTACTTTACCATATGGCTTTAAGAGCGTCTGATTACCTTCATCAGGGACCAACACATCATCTATCACATAAAGTACACCATTTGTGGCCATGACATCGGTGTCAACAGACTGCGCGCCATTGACAAATAGTTTGTCGTCTGCAGCTCTTGTCAGATTAACCATGTGGTTTAACATGTTTCTAGACTTTGATCTACCTTGTATGGCATGAGAACATATTACATTAGGAAGAATGTGATTTTGTAATAACTCTGAAAAGAAGAAAAAAATATCGTTTTTAATGGTCAAATACTATCCACACAGAAGGAACTGAAATATATTTTTGTCATAAACCTTTCCATTACCATTAAATACTTCGTTTTTAACAGCAACATCTAAAACTTGATTAGCAATATCAAAAGAAAAAATGAAAAGAACAAAAATAAAAATGCACCAATGGTAACCCTTTTTATCTAAAGATTATGACGCATAATGGTGAATGAAGGGTATTTCTGAAAACAATACTTACTAATTAGACACTCGGTATCCCCATCCAAAATTCTTGAAAGAAGGATTGGGTCCAATTTTCTGAATGCACTATCGCTGGGTGCAAACAACGTTAACTGGCCTTCATCACGGAACATCTTTCCTAGACCACTCTTGCCAATTGCTGTATTCAAAAGTTTAAAATATTTTGCTGTTAAAAAACTTCAATTTGTTTACTTGAAAGTTTTGAAACATGTTATGCAAAATTACTTATTACAGAATCATAGAGAAACAGAGACAATTGTCTTCTACTCACAATTTGCCTTCTTCTGTGGAACTGGTAAATGATATATTTTTAACGATAGGATGAGTCCAAAGTGAAAACTCATAAAAAATACCAGACTTTTAACTTTGTACGCCAGACGCGCGTTTCGTCTACATAAGACTCCCCAGCGGCGCCAGAATCAAACCAGTTGACAGGCTTAAATCAATCAAAGTGCTTGTGAGCACTGAAGGGTAAAGATTACTTTCATTTTGCAATTTTGTGAATTTTTAAACAAAACATTGAATTGTATTTTGCTAGGCAGATTAAAATTTTGAGTGGGAGTTATCTTCCTTTGTTCCTGATTGTACATTTGTAGTTGAATCTATTTTTATAACAGATTCATACACCATGCATCACTTATGTAATTTTAAATAAAAAAATGTTTTCTCGACATGTAAGGTCATTCAAATACACATCATTTTGTAACTTAAATATATCAAAGTATAGCATATCATCAATAAATTGCATGTCATTGACTGGATAGCATCTTAATAGTGATGACTTCACTGCACTATTTTTTTTAACTATCAAAGGTAGTGATAAACCTTGGGAGATAGAGATATCAAGTCAGTACCATAGGGTTTTGATTGCATTTCATACAATCTTTACCCAAAAACGAAGTTGAAGGGCATTTAAAGAAGGTCATTTATCGGTATCCAAACTCTCTTGTATAATTGACTATTATCCTCATACATCTTTAAGAAATCACATGCCTAAATGTATGTTTGGCAAGCAATGTGGTAGGTCCAATTTTTACTGAATTTGTTCTACATCGGGGTCATTTTCAAAAAAATCTTTCGAATTTTAACTTAAACTTACAGTTACAAAACCAATGCGTGTCGGGACTTCAACAAGGACATGTAGCACTGAATAGCACTTTATATTCATGGAAATATGTAAGAATGTTAAACGATATTTATATAGCATATGATAAATGACAATTTAATATTCAACATTCCGTCGGATTTGAATCCTTTAGATTTTGACCCTGTGAGTGAAACTAATGCAGGAGAAATCGGTGCTACCTTTTAAAGCAGATATTTTTTCTATGTTTATTTCGATGCATACTCAGTTTGATATGATATTAGCATACCAGTTTTCATGTAACTCATTTCAGGATCAGATGAAATGATTTCCATTAACGTCTCAGACACAGGCTCTAGGACCTCTTCAACAACGTTTATTACTCCATTTGTGGCTATTGCATCCCGAGATTTCACTTTTATGCAGTTTGCAGTCATAAGCTTAAGAGGAAAAATAGAAAATATCTCAATGGAAATATAAAAAATCAAAGTTTTGAAAGTTGTACATAAACTAGTATGAGGAAAGTAAATAATGTGCCTATCAAATCTTTACAAAATATAGTACTAGTATTACAGTATTTCGCAACTTCAATGAGTATTGCAAGCACATTTTTGAAATGTCATAATAAAATATTTTCTACAAAAATTTTCAAACTAAGAACACAATAAACCTAAAAGAATGATGTGCTAGATTAATTTTGGCTAATGAGCCGGTTATCCTCTTGAAATAAGAACTATTTATTTATTGCTATTCCCCATCCTTTCAGCACATATACAGACGCACCCAATATATTTATACGTCTTAATCTTACAAACATTCTCCATGTCTAAAGGCTGACACCACAACGTATATATACTTCGTCTGAAATTTATCCCAAAAATGTTAGATCTGCAAATTTGCATTAGCCATATTTTTTTTCCCGTGGCGGGATTCGAACCCCTGCTTCTGTGATATCGTGCCACCACCGTGTCTGTTCTGTGTCCACAGTCCAAGACCACTCGTCCAACTAAGCGTTCGTTAGTCGAGTGATGCCTTTCCTCGTCGGCTTTATCTAGATTGTAACACACTGCATGATGTGTTGTGGCAAGTATCGTCTAGAAAAGACGATACTGCGCAGATAACGAAAAAATTATAAAAAGTCTAAAGATTTGCGCAACGGTTCTAATATAAGATGGTAATATACGAAGATGATGTTTATAAAATCGTGTTGACAAATATTTCGGCTGAACAAATAGCCTTCGTCAGTGTCAATAATTTTAACGAATTTTTTTTTATGCAATTTTAACAAAACAGTATTGTTAGAATTACTGACACTGACGAAGGCTATTTGTTCATTATTTCGTATATTACCATCTTGTAATAGTACCGTTGTGCAAATCTTTAGACTTTTATATACATATATATATATAGAACTAAAATTTGCTTCCGCAAATTTGCAGATTTAACATTGTTGTGTTGATATTTAGAGTAATTATGAATATAATATGTGTTTTCAGCCGTGTATCACCTTCACTGGTGATCCAATGGATGGATCTATCGTAGAGTTGTCACTTGTTTAGACGTACTTATATATATATATATCAGTTAAAAATTTATTAGATTTAACTAGTTATATTTCTACAGAAAAAATATATAAACTTACTTCATTGTCATAGAAATTAATTCTGATTTTGTTTTTGTATGGACTTGCTGTATCAATAAGCTGTTCATCATTTAGTCTGCTGCTGGTATAAACCTCTGGAGTCAGATGACCAAGTAACATGGCCTTTAAATCAGAGATCATTGTATCAATCAGTGGCTGAGACACCATCAAAACGCCAGTATCCTACAGGTAATAGAACAAAACAAAACATTTAAATCAGAGATCATTGTATCAATCAGTGGCTGAGACACCATCAAAACGCCAGTATCCTACAGGTAATAGACCAAAACAAAAATATTAAATCAGACATGATTAGTCAGTGGCTGAGACACCATTAAAACGACAGTGTCTTACGGGTAATAGAACAAACAAAACTGCCACAACTTCAAAAAATTAATACTATATGCGGAAAATACATAGTTTAATTTTTAAATCATCAGACATTTGCAGATATTCATTTCATATCGTAAGGAGAGATACACTTTCTATGTACATATAAACGCATTTTTAATCTTTCTGATGAATGAGTGATATGGTCAATTAATCCATAGGACAAACTCCTACATTAAAAAAGAGAAAGGAACAGTGAGTTTTTTGTTGTTTTTCGTCTCAAAGTCACAGCAAAGTGTCAAGACAGAGCAAACCCCACACATAACTTCAAATTCAAGACCTCCCCTTGAAATGGTTAGAACAGAATTCAATTATAAATTTCCATGACGCTACGTTTTGATCTGAAGAACAGATGATGGGCAAATTCAATTGACAGACAATAGCAGACAGAGAAATCAAAGGAAGACTTTCAAACATGATTTGTCAACAATCCCATGGTAAATTACAAATTGGAGATATCTTATCAGAAAATAAAGTTGAAATAGGACAAATCATTTGAATCAACTCCTTAGCAATTAGACAAGACAAACTCGTCAACACAAAAAGGATATTTGATACTTTTCTAAAAGTATATAGAGCATAATTTATAGGTGTGCCTTAAGTTTTGACCCTAATCCAGTTGCCTCTACATTTTGAGAAAATAAAATCCTATTTACCTGTAGTGTAATCTGTGATTTAGGTGCCAAAAGATCAGACATCTGATCAAATGACTTGTCAACAGGCGCAAATATTGTGACATTCCCATTCTTTATATCTTGTTCTAATCCAGCTATTTTCATCGCTTCTATAAACTTAGTGAGCTTCAATTCTTTTGCTTTGTCCAGCAGATTCTTTGTTTCAACAGCTAAATAAATCAGCGAAGAAAACTCAAATAAGCAACTACTAAGTATATGTGTATTTCTTTTAAAAATAAGCTTTGAAAGAAATTTGGTAACAGGAATTACCTTGAAGATCTAGAAAAGAAAATAAAACAAAAAGACATCTACATTTCAACCATCCCGGAGCACCAGAGTTCACCGTTTTTGGTGGAGTTTTTGTTGACCAATCTATACATTTTTGTGTAGTGTTTTGTTTTTGTTTGTCATTTCGTCGTTTTTCATTATTGCGATGGTGTTGTCTGTTTTTATTGGAATTATGATTTTTGATTGCCGCCCCTTAATATATTCTTTTCTCTTCTTTCTTTGATTTTTATTCTGTAAAAACTCTATTTCAAGTAAAAACTACTACTCATTCAATTCATGAAAGTAAAGGGAACAAAGTGTTCAAACGATATCCTTTGATAAAATTAAAATCATATACAGAATGAATCCTGTTAATGTCTGAACCAAACTTTGTTGTTCGGAAATGAGAAGTCACGTGTTGGTTACATTTCCAGACTGTATAAGTAATCCTAGAAATTTCATGAATTATTTCAACAGAAATGAACCATTAAATAGCGAATCATATTATCCAGGCTAAAACTCTCTGAACTAGGTTGGCAATAATTTTACGTATCTTCTTGTTACACGACCTTTCTCGCGAATATCATGCCAGTGTTTTTTAAATTTTGTAAATTACCAACACAACGTAAATTGAGACCAATAAACAAGTCTTCAATTGTATCATCCAAGCAGTATTATTTGTTTTGATATTTCAGTTATTCTGAGCTGATAACATTTCAAAATTAGGTAACATATTTTTCATATATGTGTCAATGAACATATTTTCTTTCAATTTACCGGCTTTGGGCTTTACGCTTTTCCCATGAAGATGAAAGGCAATTTTTTTGTTTTTTATTCAAAATTTTAACCAAGAATTAAACAAAGTTGCAGTGTTGTATAATTCAAATGCCCAACGATGATATCTGTTTTTATTTAACAAGAAAGGGTCGAAATAGGTGAACCTTTGCAGTAAAGTCTTCATCATCAAATATTGAACGCCAAAGATACCAGGTTAGATGAATATATCATTTCGTTTTTCTACACTTCAGATTTGTCTGTGACTGCTCATTTATTTACTGTTTTTCAATCTGTTTACAGAACAATCATATACATGTTAATTTCGTTTTATTCTACTATACATACCAGTCGGGCAACCAATTCGATTTATCTTCCTAGTAAAGCCGGGACAACATTCTTTTGTCTCTACAATCGTTTCCTCTTTACCACCAACCACCAAACTGAAACGTCAAAGTTAAAAGTATAAGTTGACCAACCCTGTAAAACAAACGTACACTTTTTCGGCCTTTTATGTATTTTAACGAAGAATCCTCATCTAACAGATAATCAGTCAGCACTTAACTCAATATAGAGGTTGGTCTAGTCAAACGGAGACTGGCCAAGATATACACCCTTATTATAAACTAATGAATAGGCAATTTAAAAAAAATACCATGTGTATTTATATCTAATTCATCTTATTTTTTTTACATTTATAGCAGAGTGTTTGTTTTAATTACCAATTTTAAAATTGAAGGAGAACTATGTCCATGTACATACTTTTCTACTGGCCAATACCTTAAAACATAAAAAGAAAACAAAAGAAAACCACTGAATATTGATATGGAATAATTCTAATATCGGTCACTGTACTTCAGCATATATTTCAGACAGCAGCACCGAACAGTTTAGCCTAAGACAAGGTCTTGTGCATTGCCCAGAATCAATCTAAACAGATTTCAATGTCTAAAACAAAATTAGAAACCTTTTAGAAAGCTTCAAAACAAAAAGTAACCAAATGAAATATAGTTATCCTAAAAATACCAGACGCAATGCTTGAACAAAGAAAGTTTAATTATTACATAGTGGTATATTTGTTGAACGATACTTTATACATTATCCACGAGAACGTTTGTAATTTCTAGTGTATCTATGTATATGTAAGAGAATGGTAACTCCTTTGATTATAATTTAGTCCGAGCATTACCTATTAGTACATTTGTAGGAAGATCCTTTGTCATCACAGACTTGAGATCTAATCACGTGATGACTGGTAATCTCAATTTCGTCAGAGTTGGTTTCATTCTTGATTATATCTTTGTAAGTACAAATATTTGGCCTGAAAAATCCAAATATACAAAAAATATCCAAATTGCAATTTCAATAGGCAAAACTTGCCGAACATTTAAAAAGGGGAATTTCTTGTGTACAAAATGTAGGTCATTGCGAATCAATTTATGAAAGAATCTTAAAAATGTACAAGGTGTATCGTAGGATCTTTACAGAAAAAATTTGAAACGATATTAAATGAATTTTACAGTAAATATTGTATATTTAATATTTAATCGTATTGTTTTAGTTTCTGTTGCTGTCGTGCATCCTTAGGCCTTAGTTTGTTTAATTGTCAGTGAGTCTTTAGCGTTTTTCGTTTATTGCGGAGCTCCTTTTGTCACCATAGGAAACAATATATATCTTTCAAACTGCATGACAGTAAGTGTCAACATTTTTGTCATTGTGAAGCCAACATAACAACGCTATTGCTGTAAGATGTGATGAAGTTAAATATACATAATGTATACAGCAATGATATTTAAAATAAGCACGTGACATAGATTATACTTACCCTTCATACCATGGTTTTCTAGAATCAAAATTGAAGTCAAAATCAAAATCAAAATCAAAATTGAACCCTCTCCTCCTGTTGTTGAATAAACCTAAGTGAAACCTTCTGTTTCCTGGCCTAAAATCAAACACAGTTATTGAGTGTATGAATAAAGAAATAATATTTGATGATGGTGATGATGACGGATGGCTGTTTAACGTCCAGCGAGAAATTAAATATTCAGAACGAGAACATGTTACATCTAATGTTATATGTTTATCAACCTTGCTTTTTACTAGACCGACACGCTGAGCCGGATATTTAACGTTCTAGTTCAAAAGGTAATAGTCCGCAGGAAGACATGTCACCCTACCCGGACACATTATTTTGACTCCGATCCAACCAGTCTTTGCTCTTACTCCTAAATGCTGTGTGTTTATCGGTCTTTGGTTTGACCCGGCCGGGTTCGAACCCACCACCTGCCGCACTCGAGGCAAACACGCTACCAGGAGACCGCAGAGGCGATAGATGATATTAATCATATTTGAAAAATTACATGTACGATTCATATATGTTTGATACACTTTATAATAAATGGGTAGAAATCATCAAAAAAATATCCCAACAAATACTGAAAAATTTAACTTTAAAATGGCATTTCTCAAAAACTTGACATGCGAATTTCTTTAAAAATGGTATGTTGTTGCCACAAAAATTACTAAAATGCTAAGCACTTACCCGTTTAGTCAAATCAGTTGGATTTAAAATGTATGGGGTTGTGTGTTTACTGATGAAAGTCAATTGAGAAAAAAACGCTTTGTACGAACGAAATTTATAAAGTTTTATTTTCATTTACAAGCACTGGGTCGATACCAATGCTTTTAAAATGTTATCGCCAGTGCTTCGGTATTTACATGATTTAAAACATACCTTTTTTAGCCCACGTTCTCCGTTGAAAACTTAATAAATAATTGAAAAAAGGTCCAGCTCCCTCAGACAAAGTTAATCTTATATGAATTTGTATGTTCTTTTCAGAACCCTTTTAGTCTTATAGCTCCTCACGTATCCAGGTATTCATCAGTGGCGCATCCAAAAGGGGGGGGGGGTTCAGGGGGTTGGAACCCCCCTTTTTTGACGATCAATGCTTTTGAATGGGGACATATGGTTGTTAACCCCCCCCCCCCCCTATCCTGGGTTGGACACCCTTTTAAAAATGGCTGGATCCGCCCCTGTTCATACATTCTTAGCTTTTAGATTTTTTAGTTTGAGCGTTCCCGATAAAAGTCAGTCCAGACAAGCGCTCCAGACGCAAGATATTTATAAAGTTTTGTTTTTCCATTTTGAATCGAGCTCTATTCAGCTGATTTTTACAATTTGTTTTAATGTGGTGTTGTACCACCATTTACCAGGTACGGGTATGTGCCCATTGTTGAAGGCCGACCGATGGTCTATAGTTGTCTCATTGGCAATCATACCACATATTTTTTGTTATATTCACTTATCTTGTTAAATGGTTGGTTTCGCTCTTTTCTGTGACGCTTTAAAAGCAATTGAGTTGTCTGTGACGCCTTATCAATCGAGTCGTCTGTGACGCCTTAACAATTGAGTCGTCTGTGACGCCTGAACAATTGAGTCGTTTGTGACGCCTTAACAATTGAGTCGTATGTGACGCCTTATCAATTGAGTCGTCAGTGACGCCTTATTAGTTGAGTCGTCCATGACGCCTTAACAATTGAGTCGTCTGTGACGCGTTAAAACAATTGAGTCGTCTGTGACGCTTTAAAACAATTGAGTCGTCTGTGACGCCTTAACAATTGAGTCGTCCGTGACGCCTTTTAAAACAATTGAATCGTCTGTGACGCTTTAAAACAATTGAGTCGTCTGTGACACTTTAAAACAATTGAGTCGTCTGTGACGCCTTAACAATTGAGTCGTCCGTGACGCCTTTTAAAACAATTTAATCGTCTGTGACGCTTTAAAACAATTGAGTCGTCCGTGTCGCCTTATTAATTGAGTCGTCTGTGAGTTGTAACAAAGTCAATTATTAATATTTGAAGCAATAAGTGAACTATTTTCGTCTAGTTAAATGGCTCTATCCCACTTTCATGAAATCAATTTTGCTACTTTTAAACCAATTTATTTTCATTTAAAAACGGTGTAATTCGTTGTTTGAATATCTTGATAAAATGTTGGACCAATCTGGTTTCATTGAGGTTTTGTGGGATTCGGTGTTGTTTGGATATGTTGTTCTTTTTAAGTCATATCTTTACTGACTATTTGATAACATAGAAAAATAATCATTGACCTAAACTCGATAAAAAAAACTGACAGGATGGACATTCGAAAAATATTTTTCCCAACTATTTCCTAGATAATGCAAACTAAAAAATGAAAAGTGAGGTTTTGAATTCTTGCACCAGGACACAGAGTCATTCTGAATAATTCAATCTGGTAGTAGATATTTTCAGAAACCGTTTAATCGAACAATCTAAATCATGTCCCGCTGAATTGTATATTAAATCACTGTGTAGAAGAGTGGTGTGTAACTTTATGAATGCTACAGAAAACAAAACATGCCAGTTTAGTGTCAAGAACATTTAATTAGACTGATGATACTATTACCTTTGTTTGTTTAGAGCTATGTCATGCATAATCAAATAATATTGTGACTTTTTGTCTAACCTCACCTTTCATTTTTAAATTTTTACTAGATATATTTTATTTCCTTTTCTATTTTGCCTGGCATATTTCTTTACTACGTTATGAAAACTTGTTTAAACATGACTCAAATACTTGTGGTTAGAGTTGTTCATATTCAAGTGCTTATGCTGTTTACTTGTTTGTTACAACAACAAATATATAGAGAGAGAGAGAGAGAGAGAGAGAGAGAGAGAGAGAGAGAGAGAGTATAGATTTTATGGTAGTTTATATTAAATAATGCATTTTTTCCTTCTTGGGTTAATAGTTTCGACGTCAACATAATAACTGTTTTGTTTTGTTTTGCTCGTAATGTAAATTTATAAAAAGTCAGCGATTAATCAAAATTATAACGTGAAACTAGATTTATAAGATAAAAACAAAACTAGAATTAATCCGGAGTAAATATAAAAAAGTATATAACAGAATAAAAAATAAAAAAAACACTTGATTTTCTTACCTCCGACGTTGCCACCTATAAGAGTGTCTAAAAGGTCTGTCACTGTCTTCCTTATCTTCGTCGTTTACAACATGTCGTCTGAATCCAGGAGCATGCTTGTTTTTCCTGTAACGTCTCCGATAACCACATTCTATTGCTATCACCAAAAATATGGCGAAAATCAAAACAACTATCGCAATCTTACTCATGTTGCTGATGATGAGGGTGTTGTGTCAGTACAGTTTATTTATGTGAAGGAGAATGGTTTATTCTATTTCGCCATGAGGGGGTTGAGAAAATGCACGATAAGCAAAAAAAGCTAGTAAAAAGTATGTTTATTACTTTTCATATTTTATGTGTAATGTTATAAGGTTATTTCATTATTAAAAGAAAAGTGAACGGTTCTTTTTACATTGTTATAACCTAAATAATTATTCAAAATTTTGAACCCTCCCTGTCGGAAAGATCCAAATCCAAAACATGAATCATTATTGCTTATGTAACAGGAAATTTGCATATATTTATCTGTAAATATTTTTTGTTTCCGATAACGCAGTTTGAATCCAAATAATCTATTGCTTCAAAAGAAGGAAATCTATTTTTAAAAGTGATAAAAAAATAATTAATTTCTTTTCTTTCTTTTGATTCCCTCTTTATGTTAGATCTTTAACGTAAACTAACTTTGAAAAATAGTAAATCGCCAAATATTACTTATGTGACCTCATGACACTATGACCTTTATGAAATGTTATTATGACTTCGTTTATGCTGCATATCAATTAAAGTTACATAAGAAAATATAGAGTAATTCTTGGTAAAAATGTCCGAATCGTACATATTTTTGACAAATGTTTTTGATGTAAAATGAAATACATTTTGCTATACACTTTGGAATTGTTTGTACATGTTTACGATTCTCAAGAACATACTTCCTAACCTTGTTATCATGTGTTTGTTTACCCAGCAGACTCTTCAGAAAAATATTTTGATATAGGATGTTGTCTTTACTTTGAACCAGGGTTTTTCATCACGTTGTTTATCAATCATTTAACCTCACAGTATAATATTATATGGTATGGATTGTGCTCATTGTTGAAGGCCGTATGGTGCATGACCTATAGTTGCTTACATCTACCTCATATTGGTCTCTGTTGTATAGTTGTCTACCTGCCAACCATACCATATCTTCGGTATTAACTTTTATGAAATTCTCCGTCAATGTATTTAGAAATTGTTTAGAAACTTAGGTTCCAATCAAACTCTCTCACGCAAAGTTGACTTCAGATGCATTCAATGTCTATTCTGTTTTGTTCTCTTTGTGGTTATATAGCCCCTGATGTGTTGAAGTATCAATTTTTTGGGTTTAAACGTTCCTTGTGATGTTAATATTTGACAGGTGCACGATTTTTTTTAATTGTTATATGTTTAATTTCATTCTTTTTATATCATCCAACCATCTGATGTAACAGCGGTTTGCACTATTGAAACTAAACTTTAGAAAAAAATTGAAAACTAAACTTTAGGAAAAGTTGGAGGACGTGTTTTTCAACAAACAATCGGTATTCCCTTGGGATCCAACTGTGCCCCTCTTCTTGCCGACTTGTTCCTTTATTCATATGATGTTGACTTCATACGGGAACTTCTTAGGAAGAAAGAAAAGAAGTTAGCAGTATCCTTTAACTTTACTTTCCGCTATATAGATGATGTTCTCTCACTAAATAATTCAAAATTTGGTGACTTTGTTGAACGCATCTATCCCATCGAACTTGAGATAAAGGATACAACAGATACAGTTAAGTCTGCCTCATATCTTGACTAACATCTAGAAATTGATACTGAGGGTCGGTTGAAAACAAATTTTACGACAAAAGAGATGATTTCAGCTTCCCAATTGTGAACTTTCCATTTCTATGTAGCAACATTCCAGCAGCGCCTGCATATGGAGTATATATCTCCCAGTTGATTCGATATTCCAGGGGTTGTATTTCCTATCATGATTTCCTTGATAGAGGGTTGCTGCTCACAAGGAAGCTATTAAACCATGAGTTCCAAGTGGTGAAGTTGAAATCATCCCTTCGTAAATTTTACGGACGCCATCACGAGTTGGTTGACCGTAATGAAATATCCGTTTCACAGATGATAGCGAATATGTTCCAAATGTTGTTACTACAATACCGTCCCCCTTCCCCCGAATGTGATCTACCGATTTAGACTTATTACCGGATTTGTACTAACATGAGCAACACGACGGGTGCCACATGTGGAGCAGGATCTGCTAACCCTTCCGGAACTCCTGAGATCACCCCCAGTTTTTAATGGGGTTCGTGTTGCTCAGTCTTTAGTTTTCTATGTTGTGTTTTGTGCACTGTTGATTGTCTGTTGGTCTTTTTCTTTTTTAGCCATAGCGTTGTCAGTTTATTTTCGACTTATGAATTTAAATGTCCCTTTGGTATCTTTCGCCTCTCTTTTTCAAAACTAAACTTTAGGAAAAAATTAAAACTAAACTCTAGGAAAAATGTAAAACTAAATTCTAGGAAAAGAAATTAAATAGTCAAGGACAGTTTTTTCAACACTCGTGAAGTAGTGTCGCATTCATGAGAGGTGCTGTATACAAACAAATGAATGATCGAAGTCAGACATAAACATCCGGAAGAGCGAGACATGATATAGCAACTACTTTTTAGTAAATGGTGGTACCAATCCTCTTTAGTGTTTAATGCACACGGGAAGTATTTCTATGCACTATTACACTATACGAGCTATAATAAACGAAAATGAACAAAATTGAAAATAACTTTGCGATTTTTGGATAAGTTATGGTTATGGACTTTGTTTTAACGTCAAAACATGCAGGATGTCCAGGAAATGTGATAAGCTATATATAAATATATATAACTTCCTGTTGAAACTATACTTATGTACTATTTACAATATCAAATAAAACCCCGATTGCATTTGAGAGAAGCCAGCATTGGAAGATAAAGTTGATCGATTGAACCACCTCGTCTGGAAAAATTTCTTGAGAACCAATGACAAAACCACATGAAAACATCGAAGGGGTTTCGTTATTACAAATTACTTACACAATTTTAAAACTTTTTTCATCGATAAAAACATTTGGTCTAGATGTTTGGTTGTACCTGTAGAAACCTTAATACAAACGGGATCTCTTTTCATCTTAATTTTTACGGTGATGTTGTTTATAAAGCCCGTAAAATTAGATACGATATATGTAAACTTATTGATCCCTTGTCTAATTCTTAAGGGTTATCATTTTAACAATGTAGTTAGATCTTTGAATATTGTCTTGATCGGTACTAACATTGATTGTGTTTCAATAAATTAAATTAAAATTAAACAGTATCCATTGGATTTGTACTGGTTGATATTATAGTCTGGGTAAAACATTGGTTATTCATTAGTTTAAATCTACATTGAACGATCTTTCTGTAAATGTGAGTACTCTAATCTCGGTTCTATGTGTTTTTCTTTCTTTGAGTTAGTTGTTTTTGTGCTTCGTGCTGATTTGGTGAGTGATGTGACATATTTCTTAAATATTATACCACTAGCCGTTTACCTTACTTACAAATCTGGATATTGTTTTACACATGGCAACAACATTATCAAGAAACGTAAGATTACTGAAAATGTCATATCCTACAATTAATCATGACTATTAACTTGGCATTGACAATTTGTGACTTATGGGATGAAGGATTGGAATTGTTTGCCATTTACTCAACGGTTTTGTGATATTGCGAGGTAAGTTTTACCGGGTAATTGGAGTTTTGAGAAAAACCAATCCTGTATATGTATGTCTTAAAAACTGCAGTTGGCGTAAAATAAAGTAGTTGCGAATTTTTTTATTTTATTTTTTATTATGTGGTTATAAACATTTTGTTTGCAAACTAAATACATGTACACGTACTTCCAATTGGCTGAAACTACCACCAGCAAACGTTAAGTATTCCAATTCAGCAAACGAATAGGGAAGTACATGCATTTTAAGTGGTTCATACTTGAGATGAAGTTGCTTATGAACACACATGTACTTAAGTGTCCGTCCTCCAAGCTACAAAAAGGATGTTTTCATTTTCTGCGTCTGAATTTGAGAAACCATTGAATATTTAACTTTCACTAGATTAACAGGAAGTACGTAATCCAATCGTTATCTACTGCGCTTCCTTCTTTAGAAGAATGTATGGAATCCCGTTAAACACGTCACATCTTAATTTGAATGATGAAAATAAAATAAAATCGTCTTGCATTCAGGAATAGAAGATTTGTTCAGCACCCAAGATGGTTTCCCATATGTAGATTCTAAGAAAACTCTACAGAGCTTTTTCATAATTTTAAATAATCTTTCTCTGAAATGAATTCTATCACAACCTTTGATTTTTCAACCCTCTATACCACCATTCCCATTGCGAATTTGAAAAATCGTCCAAAAGAAAAAATCCACAATGCTTTTCAATATAAAAATGGTAGCATACGCATTAAATTTATCTCTTTGGCTACCATAGGACATATTTTGTAAATAGTGAACAAAAAGGTAAAACATGCTACACCGAGGAACAATTGATCAGTATGCTGGAGTTTCTTACTGACAACATACTTGAATTTGAAAGTAAAATTTTTCAACAAATTGTCGGCATTCTTATGGGAACGAAATGTTCGCCTCTCCTTGCCGACCTCTTCTCATTTTCATATGAGCCGGAGTTCCTTCAGACATCTGTCAAAAACAAGAAGATCAAAAAATTTCACAATCAGACATATTGATGATGTTCTTTCCATTCACAATCCAAACTTTTCTGATTGGGTTCCATTAATATATACTCCAGAAAATCCGACTAGAAATTAAAGAAACAACAGACACGGCTTCCTCTGTCTCATCTTGATACTTATACCTCGAATTTGACATAATCGGTCATCTCAGTACCAGAATCTATGACAAATGAGACGATTTTAATTTTGAAATTATAAATCCCCCCCCCCACCTCAGCAGCAATATTCCAACTTCACCTCTATACGGTATATACATTTCCCAACTCATTCGGTATCCAAGTGCTTGCAGCTGCTACTCAGACTTTATAAAACGTCACCAATGTCTGAGCAGAAAGTTGATGAACCAGGATTATGTCAAAGAACGTCTCGTCCTTTTTCTAAAAAAAGTTCTTCTGAAGATACCAAGACCTTGTTGATAAATATTCCGTATCAACTTCACAAATAATACATGATGGTCTTGAAGTATAGATTATA